GAAAAATGATGACATAATTTAGTACACTTTTTTTTTTTTTTTTTTTTGAGCTTGGGGCTGTTCTTTTGCTGTTTTTAAGTTAGGTGATTTGAGTGTAGATTTTGAGTTGACTTTGGGTTATAACTTGAGTTGAAGTTGTAACTTGAGTTTGTGTTTAGTTGTGTACATTTGAGTTATGATTTGAGATAAGAATCTTTTTGAGTTTGTGTTTGAGTGAGTCAAAACTTGAATTTGTATTTAGATAGTATTTTAATAAAACTCAATGCTGATGAAAAATTTTAATAGGGTATATGGGTGGGGTTTTATTCGTCTTTTCGTTGTGAACGCATAGAAAAAAAAATCATCTCAATCAAAATTAAAACGAAAAAGTTATAGCATTTTTAAGAATAGAAAAAATATTGTTTATTAATTTAAGTTCGAGTTTCTGAATTTAAGTTGAAGGGGAAACTTAGGACTTGTTCTTTTAGAGTTTAACTTGAGTATAATTCTTGAGTTGAATTTGAGTTATAACTTGAGTTAAACTTGTAACTTGAGTTTGTGTTTGGCTGTATAAATTTGAGTTATGGTTTGAGATAAGAATTTTTTTGAGTTTGTGTTTGAGTGAGTCAAAACTTGAATTTGTATTTAGATAGTATTTTAATAAAAACTCAATGCTGATGAAAAATTTTAATAGGGTATATGGGTCGGGTTTTATTCGTCTTTTCGTTGTCAACGCATAGAAAAAAAATTATCTCAATCAGAATTAAAACGAAAAAGTTATAGCATTTTTAAGAATAGAAAAAATACTGTTCATTAATTTGAGTTCGAGTTTTTGAACTCGAGTTGAGGGAGAAACTTGAACTCGAGTTTTAGTCCTAAACTCGAGTTTGAACTCGAGTTTAAACTTAAAAGAACATAAACTCGAATAAATTGTAACTCGAGTTGCCTTTTTTTGAGTTTTTTACTCAAAAGAACAAGCCTTTAAATTTGAGTTTTAATCTCAAACTAAGTTCAAACTCGAGTTCAAACTTAAAAAAATATGAACTTGAATAAAATTGTAATTTTGAGTTGTTTTTTTTTGAGTTTTTGACTTAAAGAAAAGAGAATTTGAATCCTACGTCTTGTGGAAGAGTCAGCCGTTAAGATATGATCTGTGCAACTACATTTATTATTTACCTTGCATGTTTTAGATTAATTACATTAGTTATAAAAAAAGTTTATCATGTACAGCAATCTTGATGTGCGCTCTTTTGTTTATGTTTTTCTTTCTTTCCTTCCTTTTTTTTTTTTTTTTTTTTTTTTTTTTTTTTTAAAATTAGTTACGTTAGGAGAAAATCTAAAAGGTATCCTCTCAGTTTTGCCTACATATAATTTTTATCTCTGAGTTTTTTAAAATCTAAAAAGTACATCTTATGTTTTTAAAAATAGATAAAAAGTATCTCTTTCTTTTAACTTTTCTGATTTAATTTTTTTTAAAATAGCCAAATTATCCTTAAATATTCTATATACTATTCAAACTTTAAACTATACCAACTTCTAAATACCCCTCTTAATTTTTTTTAATTTTTAATTTCTAATTTTTTTTTTTTTTTTTTTTTTTTAAGGGGGCCCATAAAAAATTTGCAGAACCAATTTAAATAAGTTTTTATCGATTTTAGTAAGTTAGTTTATTATGCACTACAAAATACATTTTCACTTTAAATTGGTACGTAAATTCCTCATATTGTGCCAAATAGAATTTCAAAAAAAAAAAAAATCACGTTTCTTCAAAAAAGATTTCACTTTCTTATTAAAATGAAAAAAACAAAAACAAAAAACACTTATTCAAATTGGTGCCGTAAAATTCCTTAGAGGTTACTTCAAAAAAAAAAAAATCTAAGAGGAGTGTTAAGAAGTTTATATAGCCTACAAATTTAGAAAGTACATGAAATATTCAAGAATAATTTGGCCATTTTAAAAAAAATTAAACCTAAAAAGTTAAAAGAATGGATACGTTTATATGGATTAAAAAACACAGAGAATACTTTTTAGATTTTATTTAGACAAAAACTGAGGATATTTTTTAGACTTTCTCGTGGTGTACGTTTTAGAGTTGCATGTGCTAAGCATAATGCTTGCTGCCATTATATACATTCATGTGAGAAAGAAGTACATATTTATAAATGCACGAGCACGCGCTCACAGAAAAACAAAAATTTTAATAAAAAAAAGTGATATTAATGTCGGATAAGGAACTCTTGTCAGCCTTTCTGAGTTCTGACTTTCATCCATGTGCATGTGAAGATGGTTGTTTGTTGGGGAAGCATCCTGCATGTACTTTCACTCTCCATCCTTTTTTCTTTCCACTGCACGTGACTTTCTCTCAGGATCAGTTCTTCCATACCAATTCCCCACCACAGGAAATAAGAAAATCAAAATCAAGAAAAATGAGGTAGTAGAAAGAATTTATCAATTCCTTCTAATGGAGAGTTTTATTGCATCTTTAGATTATAATCAACTTAAATTTACTGTTAAACAAGTGATTTCCTCTTAATATGATAATTGTTTAGTAAGATTAGAAAAATTATTATCTTCTAGTAAGAAAACCCTTGTGAGATCGGTGGTTTAGTCTTTATTTCTACGGTTTTATTGTGAGATTCATCTTTTATTATAGTTTTTAGTATTCAAACACTGCTGATGCCCCTAACATTATTGTTCTAACAATTTTAAGTTCTCTTTCTCAATTCTGACGAGTGTTTTATCGACTCGTGGCCTTTTCAACAGTCTTCTTTATAAAGCCATATAATGCGGGCGTCTGAAAACATTCTAACACTAATACACCTTTTGACACACTGAAAAATGCAGAGACAACCAACTTACGAGCTCATCATCTGGACTTTGGTTACCTTTTCATCTCTCTTGTGCCAAGGTATTTCATCCTTTTATTTGCCACTAATAAGAGAAATTACATTGCATTCTTGTCCTTCTCATGTGTTGTCGTATATCCCATACATAACGATTTCTTGGTAGCTTGTAGGAATGAATGGTCCCATCTTCCTAGCATGTTCATAAAGTGGTTTCTAGTATAATGCTCTTAACATGGTATTTGAAAATGATGGAAATGGTTAATTTTAAGCTTTTTGGTAAGTTGTTCTTTTAAGGAAAAAAAAAATGTGGTAAACTACGAGATTTGGCTCAGACAGACCGTTTTTGCAACGCTGCAGGGTGGGCAGCCAAGTGCGCCGCTAGGGATCATGCTCCGACTGTGCAACAAACGAAGATAGGAACGGGAAATCCTCCAAAATTCATGGTGGAAGTGCGCAATAACTGTCCGATGTGCCCGATTATTAACGTCCATTTGAAGTGTGGGAACTTTCCTCAAGCTCTAGTCAATCCGAGGCTACTCAAAGTTGTTGCCTTCGATGATTGTGTCGTCAACGGAGCGTTGCCATTGCAGCCTCTCCAAAAGCTCTCCTTCAACTATACTCACAGCAAGTACTTGTTGCGCCCCAGCATTTGGTACTTCCAGTGCGAGTAAAATAATCAGACCATGCTGCTGTTTCTGCCCAGCTAGCTTACAGCATTGCATTGGACTTTGTCTACAAATATAGTTTTCAAGTCCTTTATTTTATTTTATTTTCTTCAAGATGATTCACTGATCCATCAGTTGACCAAAATGCAAACAGAAATATGATTTCTATTTGTGAGTGTGAACAGCTAGCTATTGTCCTTAAAATCATAAAACAGGCCCTAAAAGGCAAATACGTCACGTTTTAGCTATTTAGTATTAAAAAGCCGCGACGCTTAATAACATGACAAACATGTTCTATGTTTTTAGTACGCTACTGAGTTTCAATCTGAAGAAGAATATCCCTTAAAACCTAACTGGCATTTATTTCATAGAAAATGGCAAAAGCAATTGCAATAATAGTGAACTGGTCAAGAACATTGAAAAGGTAGATTTCCTGTTTTTCTTTTTTAAATGAATTATAGATAGATTATAGATTTTCTTGGGTCTGTCCTCTAAGGCGTCTTTATGTTTGATAGCAAGCATAGAACCATTTTGAATATATATTTATATCTACGAAAATGATTTTTTTAGTGTTTATTCTTTCCTTTTGAGATGCAATGTTACTAAATAGAAGATCCACTTTTATCTCAAATTTTGATGACAATTGGTTGTGACATAATTAATCCCTAGTAATAGCGTACAGGTCCCAAAGTGAAAACCGAAAGTGCGCTAGTAAATTAATGATTAAGTGGAGCAAAATGAATTTACTTTTTAGGCCAAAATGTATTACAAAGTCACCTTACAGAAACAAACACAAAATCAAATAAATAAATAAATAAAGCTAGTTAAGATTTGAGAATGGTCAGTTTGGATTGGTTCGAATACCAAAACTCAAAACTGCCAACAAAAAAGAAACAACGATACTATTTTACGTTACAGCAACCAGACCCCTTCAAATCAATGTCAAAAAAAAAAAAAAAAAAAAAAAAAAAAAAAAAAAAAAAAAAAAAAAAAAACTTTCACTTCATGCACTGCCCATCCGAATCATACAAGGAAAATGCGAATGGAGAATAAGAAAAAAGAAGAGAAAATCTACTTTTGACTTATTAGCTATATGTTGTCTAGAAAGGTAACCACTCATGACTAATATTAAAAATCCAACCGTTAAACCCATATTCTAAGTTTTGAAGCTGGTCGTAAGCTTTCCCAAACTTCCACAGATTCGCCTCGGTAGAAAATACAACACAAAATGAAGCTTCTGATAACCTAGCTTGTTTGCACACGAGGCATGAATTATAGCAATACATAAATCACAAAAATAATCTGGACTACTACATCGGTTATTCTGAAGATTTCTCTCACTATATCATTCTAGTTACTGTATTCGACAGAATCACTGATGTAGTAGTTCGACCGGCAGGGTTTCTTATCTAAAAACAGAAAAATAAAGTAGTTCCACCGGCAGACATAAGAGTGATAAAAGGAACCTAATAAATATACCAATTTACGTATCATCATATAAATTAGTCGGAATTAGAACTATTATACCATTAAGCAACTTATGCTCGTATTTACCATATTGCTAGGACCTAAAGCCAAGTAAGGTAACAACCCAATTTTGGAACCATATACATTTGATTTTGAATTCAGTGTTAAAAACCTTCATACATTTCCGGCTTCATCTTGGGAAGAAAAATATAACCCAAAATGAACCATCAGACACTAAGCTTTAACATACCTTTTTCCGCATAAATCATTTAGATGCACAAACCAGAGCAGTATTCTGTAGACTACTACTTCATCAATAATTTCACGATATCTTTCTATATTCAAATCTATCGTTAAGTTCTATGTCAGCAATCTCTTTTAGTTGTTGCGTCACAGTAAACTAAAGTGTGTAACAGCATGGTTACCAACAAGAAGATTATAGACCATTGGCTTTTCACATGGCAAGCAGAAGAGATATAGTGGGAACCTACTAAATGTACCGTTCCTGTCTGTTCATCCTTGACTTTAATGTTTGACGAACCTGAAATAAACCATTCAAAAGTCAAAAGTTGAGTTGCAAACTAAAACAGAAAGATCCAGTAATCTTCAAGATTAACCTTTAAAAAAAAAAAAAAAAAAAAAAAAAAAAAAAAAAAAAAAAAATTTTTCAACCAAAAACCATGCACAAATTTTTTCAATTAGATATTAAATTTGGGGAAATGAGATGCATATAGAAAAAAATTCTTCAACAGAGTAAAGAGAAAATAACACAACACTCACAATTATATTCAGTCCACCCTATTGCCTGATTTTCAAGATCATACACCACTAGCTTATTTGAAAGGACCAAATCTGCAACAAACCCAGAACAAAAAAAATATAATTAGAACATCACATGACTTGCCATTTTCGCTTATACTGAGAGTATCATTGATTTTGTCCATTAAACCCGATTCGTAGTAACTTAAAAGTGCTGGGTATTTTGCAACATGATAATAACTTAGAGCACTCATACACACAACGCAAAACAAATAAATACACGTGTGTATGAGCACTCTAGAAAAATAACACAAGGAATTTAATAAGTAGAAATAAAAAAATTGAAATTTTTAATTTTAGGCCACATCATACTTCATAACAGCTTCCTGAACCTAAAACCTCATATCAAAACTTTTTAGCAAGCATTGCAAAAATTATATACAGCAGTTAGATAGCGTCACTCTTTTTATCATCCTCTTTGTCACTTTCTGAATTCACTGTTTGGCGTGTGAACTCCACTAACATGATATATTATTATTTAAACAGAAAATGAGATAATAGAATCCAAAACAATGAATAATAGAAAGAGTGACGCTAGCATTTCTCTACTCATTAGATCCAGTCACTAAAAGCACAAGATCCATCAAATGCCAAACTAGAAAAGAAATAATACATACCAAGATAAAGCTTCAAGGTCACGTAGACTTCATTCACATGAAATTTAGGTGTAAAAATACTAAAAAGGTGCAAACGAAATCGGAATGTCATTAAGATAGTTGAAGTTGCAGTACAAAGATGGAATGGAAATGCAGGGTCATAAGAAGGTAAAAGGAGCAGAAATTAAAGAAAAAAAAATAGAAAATCCATATAACTATAACCAGTTGGGATATGAATTGTGAATGATTGACTACAGATCTACAACACGAAGGATCCGTTTAGTTCGCTGATTCGAATTTTTAATTCGAGTTGAGATATGATTTTATGTGAGAGCTTTTTACTGCAGCAAAAAAGTTAGATGTGACTGTTTCTGAGAGCTTTTTACTGTAGCAAAACTCGAATTCTAAACTCGAATCGGTGAAATGAACGGGGCCGAAGAAAGCATTGATTCCAAATTCAAAAAGGATTTTGGAGACAGCAATACATGACTTAATTGTAAGCAGAACAAACAAATAATACTTGTGTGGTACCAAGTGTCTGGATGAAGGCTAGAAGAAATACTTTGAAATTAAAGCAAAAAAAAAAAAAATATATATATTTGAAACTAATGCAAAAAATAAAATAGAATAAAATAAAATAAAGAAAAACTTTAATAGCTATACCGCACAATTACAGAACCCTCGTATATAATAGAAGAACACATGAATACCATATAACGGCCATTAAGTTTCAGGGACTACCTCCCAAAAGGGTCAAGTTCTTGCTGTCTCTGGATTGCATCCCACTATTTTGCCAACCAATACACCACATGCCTTCCTGTAAATATCTATATATTAACTGAAGTTCAACAAATGGATCATGAAGATGCTAAATGCAACATAAGCCGAGAAATAAACACTTCAGGAGAGTAAAGAGCAATGTTTAGGTCATAAATGTTTTAAATAATCTGAGCCTATCGCCATGCTTTATTTGCAAATGCCTCACCAAGAAGAATATTTACGAAGCTTACAGATGATGCAAGATGCGTAACAGTGACGATCATCATAATAGTTCATTAGGTTATTGGACCTCAGCACTTGCAACCAAATCAGTAAGCGACAATGGAGTGGCTTCTAATAATTAGTCTCTTTTGTTTCTCATGACTAATGAGAATTATTAGAGTTCGTATGTGTGTTTGTAAATAATATGAGTTTGTTGTTTTGAAACTTAAGCTATTATGACTCTAGGTAGATCACTCAACATGGTACAAAGCTCGAATAGGTCTCTATATCTTTGTAACCCACGTTTGTCTTGACTTTGCACAAACCTTGCATTATGTTGATCTCGGACAGGGCTACAAATGAAAGGTTGCGTTAAGCTAATAGGCATTAATGGTTGTTTGACTGGGATATGAATTACCTGAAAGCAGGTTACCGACATCCTATATGTTAGCGAAGTATTTGTTAGAATGTTTCCCATCTGGACATGCAAGTCCCACCCTCTTTCTAAAGAAAAAAGACAAGGGGGGAAAAAAGAAGGGTCCCTGATCACTCAGTATACTACAAATTGCAGAGAGAGAGAGAGAGAGAGCGAGAACATGTGATAAAACTTGAAATTGCCAATACAGAAGTATTTCGGAGAAAAAAAAAGAAAAAAAAAAAAGGAAAAGAAGACGCAATGCATAGTATAATTAGTATACTGAGGAAGATGTGTCACTCAGAGTAGAGAAGGAAGCAATAAAAATTTATTGCGGCTATTTAGAAATTATAAATCACATACAGAGATAAACTAATACAAAAATCATAAAGTTTCCGGGAGGAAACTTTGCAGCAAATTTGCATATCCAAAATCATAAAGTTCGCATATCCAAAACCATAGAGTTGGATACATGATGAGTACAATAATCTAAAAAACTCTGGTAAGCATTCTGACAGAGCCTTAACAAAGTTTTGCATTTCAATATACTTACATAGGAGAACAGATATTCATGTGGATGAACCTTTAAAGAAAGCGAGTTTTCGAAATAAAAAGTGACAGGAGGAAATGCATCATCCAAGCTGCAATTAAAGATGAAAATTATAAATATCAGTCACGTGTCACAGAGTTTGCATGGAAAATAAAATGAAATTAACAAAGTCAGAACAGACTCGATTCAATAAAGGATCAAGTGAAGAAATTATTAAAGCAAAACGGCAAAATCCAAACTCGAAGGCATTGAGGACAAAAGCATGAGGTTTCAGAGTCAACAAATTGAAAGCAGCAGCATAGAACAACTAAATGAATCAAACGTTTGTCGGGAAGTAGTGTAGAAATTAAGCATTTGAAACAAGTTACCCATTTTCTCTGAATATTATAAGATATATACCTGTTCCAAATGAACAAGTAGAAAACGATTTTTTTTTTTATTTTTATTTTGCGCTGAATAGAAAACAATGAATTTAGATGATACTAATTGAAAAATTACAGAGTGTATTCTTCCTGACATAATACCTTAAGTTTCATACTCAGTGTGAAATTACAATGATCGTTTGACTTCCATTTGAACTCGTAGGCAAGAATACATTTGCCACACAACAACAGTTACTAAAAGGCTAGGAGGTGGGTAGTATAAAGTAGATTTGAAGCCTCAAAATGATAAAAGATTACAAGATATTGTGAACATGGAACAAACTGATTCCTATTCCCGATCATGTAAAATTGATAACAAAATTATACTAAGAGGAATAAGAAAAGAAATCCAAAGCATTAAGCGTCCATCATGAACCATAAAGACGATGCATTTCAAGCAATGAATAGAACTTTCAACACTGTTGCATTCGACAAAATATTCCACATGAAAGTATAGTTTTTAGCCGCTGCATATATAGAAGAGAAATTCTGCAAAACGGCAATTCACCGTGCACGTCACCTTTCTGAGTACTGGAAGCAAGTATACTCTCCATGAACTGTACGAACCTTCAGATCAGGCTGCTGAGATAGTATCTGAAAAAGGAAATATATTTAAGATGCTTTAATTTAATTTTAGAAGAACATCTAACAAATTATACGTGCTTGCACACAATTAAAACCAACACAATATACCTTACTTACTAATGGCACATAAACCATTTCTGGAAGATAGGCCAACGTTGTACCACTGTCAATTATAGTCCCTTTTCTGTCACCAAAGTCAAATGCATAGTTTGGAACACTTAAAAAAGTGCGACCAACTTGTATTGCTGTCATATTGACATTGTAATGTGGCCTACAATTTTACACGCAGAATACAGCTGTCATTACCAAGATTTTATCAACCCTGACTTAACAGCAGTAACTGAGACGAAAGAGAAACCCCACCTTATATATATATTAAAGCTCTAGGTGATAGAATCATGATTGTGGAAAGCCAAAGAAGGAGAAAAGAAAAATCAATCAAGCAAATGTTGGGCCCATTTTTATCATACTTTATCATCAAGTTTCTTCACTGCATTAATCTCTTTCCTTTAGACCTTAACTTGTACAGTATTGAAAGAGATAATTGCCAGTCATCTTTAAGATCTAATGAAGGTAAAAGATAGACTCTGCAATAGAAAATTTCACATTGCATAATCTGATTATGATAAGCCTACTTCGGTTTCGCATTTGTCCTTTTATACCACACAATAAATTTCATTTTGCAACCAAATTTTAGTTACGCAATAAATCATACAATTAATTATGGTCTTTTTACATACATCTACTGTGTCTCATACAATCGACTTATCTAACTGTCACCAAGAGTCTAGATGCATCTCAAGGAGGGTAGTTAGACCAGTTTCTTGTACTAGAATATTCCAATTCTCATCTCATATAATCGACTTACCACAACTGTCACAAGAGTCTAGACAAATCTCAAGGAGTGTGGTTAGACCAGTTTCTCATACTAGAATACTACAATTCTTGTCGCATACAATCGACTTACCACAACTGTCACAAGAGTCTAGACAAATCTCAATGACTGTAGTTAGACCAGTTTCTCGTACCAGAATATTCCAATTCTCTTTCCTTTTCTTGTGTAGCCTAGTTAATATGTTATTTCAACATGAACACAAGGTTTTTCTTCTCTTTCAACATTTTTTCTTCTTTAGTATGAAAGATTTTTTTTTTTTTATTTTATTTTTTTTTTTGGAAGGAAAGAGAAATATTAGAGAACAAGCGATCCTCCAAATCAATCAAAGCATACTATACCAAACACCCTCAAGAGAAAAATAAAACCAAACTATGATTTGTGGACCCTAAAAAGTCCAGAAAGTTGAACTAATTTCCATATATAAATTATCTTCAACTGCGACTTTTCAAGGCACAAAGCTTTTTGACTTCTTGACTTCTTCAGTCCAACCAGAGCTTAACAGTGTAAAACTAAAATTTTTGCCATAAACCAGAACCTTCTTGTCAAAGTCGCCTGTGCCACAACTATAAAGCTACCACATAATGTATAACAAAAACAGTGTGACAAAAATATGTAACCTCCACCTTCATTGAATAATAGCATATTTGATAGGTGTAAACACTCCACTTGTTTCTAATTAGCCTCAATCTTTTTAAACTCTTTGGGCCCCTTTGGAATGTATACTCAAACCATGATTTGTTTGAAATTCAAATTTTTTGTGAGCGGAAAACACTATAGCAGAATCAATTATTTGAGTTTGAGTATATGAAACAAACGGGCCCTTTATTGATAGAGATATGAGCTTAAGTTTTTGTTTTGTTTTCTTTTTCTTTTGAAAATAAAAAATAAAAAATAAAAATCCTTGTGTTCGCTTAGCTGAATACAACTTAAACTCAAGTTTTGTTACTCATGATACTTTTGTCTTCTATTGGATAGCCCTTTATCTACAAAAGCTCTCCATTTTATGTTCTTGAAAGCGTGTGAAGCATATTGTTAAATTGGTTTACTTCCTCGTGGTATTGTTTTGGTACCCTTAATAAGAGAAAATGCGAGAGAATCATGTCCAGAAAGTTTAGACTTCTAAGTTGACGAAGCAGGGCGAAACCAGTTAAATTTTGAGACGAAAGACAAGCAGAAATAATAACCTCACAAAGAAATGCACGTGCAATGAAAAAGCATAATCGAGATAAGTGATACTAGTTGACTAGGGGGAAAAAAAAGGTACGTACTGATTTGGGACCAAGGGTGTCATGTTAACTTTGGGTTGTACAACATGGCCGATGGCAAAGATACCACCTCCATTTGTCCCGTCTAAGCAGTGAGCAAACATCTTTTTCACTCTTCCAGATGAAGCTAGCTGTGAAATTACAGATGAATTTGATTTTCCAAACCCAAGTATCCCATCAAGTGCTTCTTCACCATTTGAAGCTAGATCCCCAGATTGTGTAGCACCACATCTATGAAGAGAACATAAGTCCATTACATTAATAATCCCACAGTAAAAAGTAGAGGACAAAAAGGGAGTGGATTTCCGTTGTCTAATAAAATCAGAAAGCAAAACAAACTACCAAAGACATTCCTAATTTCACTTGGCAAGGAAAAAAGAACAGTTATCAAAAAGTGAAGACGGTTAGAGTGTTCCCCTGCCAAGTAATTTCCCTTTTTTTGCCATTAGTTTTCATCCTAATATGAAACTTCCAACATAACTACTCAGATCTTTTGAGGAAAGGTCTCTGCCCGTATATGTAGAAAGGCTTTTAACCTGAAATAGACAAATTCCCAAACAAAAAAGCATAATTTGAAGATATGCAAGAGTTGGACGTTAAGGAATACATCTTAGGGAACTAAACTCACTCACTATGAGCTGAACAAACTAAACCAGAAAGTAAAGTTTTCCATTTAATGTATACTGATGTGCACAAGAATTCCCTTTAGATATTCTCTGGAGTTTCAAGTGATGTACCGCCATGTCGTCTTTGCAGGTTGGAGATAGAATACATAACCAGATTAAACCTATAATGCACAAAGAGTGTTTTCCACGGCACGCTGACAAGGAGGAACAGCTACTGAATCAATATAGAACCGCAACTTACTATGTCACTGAACCTGATTTTCTTTTTTTTTTTTTTTTTTTTTTGGAAACTATATATGTCCATACGTCCACACAAGCAGATATACACAAGTACATTTCAATACATAAACACACAACTTGATCAATAGAATACTGAGCTTATACTACTTGTCAGCTGATAGATTAGTTGCCGTAGAATTTTGCGTGATTTTCCTCACCCTTCAATGTGCAGAGAACTAGTATTAAGATCTCCTATTAGTACAAACCCCAGTTCGACCCATCACTCTTTCACATGCTTTGCACTCTGACGAGGGAGTGGTGACCCTTTATTAGCCTTTAGTTACTTGGCACGCTATACTCAACCGACGTAGGCTCCATAGGATAAGATTAAGGTTTGGTTGGACAAAAAAAGTCGCTGTTCTTGAATTTTGTAGTTTTCTCCCCTGTAACTGGTCTAAACTATCAATATGAGCTGTTTAAATGGTCATACAAGAAGGTCGGCCCTTATCCCATTCCTTTACATTCATATATTGAATCAACATTGCTCAGTGTCCTCAATCAAACAGCACAAATAAAACAAAATTTACCAAAAAAACACTCACCCAAAAATGACACTCCCATTCGACGACGTAGTTTCAAGGTCTCCCGACACTCGATCATACTGCACAACATCTTTCACAAAGTAGCCAGCAGTGGAGCTGCCATCTCCGTATATCTGAAGATACGGACATGTCACATTCTTCGTACAACCAGACAATGGACCCCCACTGACCTCCAAGCAAAACTCTTCATCACAAGGCACCAATTTCCCAGTTGAAGAGTCTTTAATATCATATAACGTCAGGTCTATCTGTTAACATAAAACAAATATTCAACAAAAAGGACAGCTTTAATCTCTACTTTTCAGTCTTCTATTATCCAGGCTTTTCAAACAACAATAAAATTTGTTTCTCATTAAAAAAATAAAAATAAAATAAAATAAACGTACACCGAGGGAGCTTCTGGTTGGGCAATCTTTACACTGAATACAATTCACCCACATAATATCACTTCCCGTATCTACTTGCACATAATAGTCCTTCGGAGGAGTTCCAATTCCAATTCTAGCATAGTAAAGCCTAGAAAAAAAAATATTTCAACGCAAATTCGAAAGCAAAGAAAGAAATTTATCGAGCAACAAAAGGAACAACAGAGAAAGAGATACCCGACGGCGTCGGGACGGCCGGAGCCGCCCAAGGGAAGATCAACGCCGGCCAGAATTCTGAGCTGACGGCGATCGTCGTGCGCCTTGAGAGCGGAGAGGGAGGGCTCACGGCCGGCGTACTTGTACTTGACGCTCAAAACGGCGTCGTTGAGGGCGGAAGTGGTGGTGACCTTGGTGGAAATCAGGAAGAGCAGGAAAATCATGGCGGTCGAGAGAGAGAAAGTAGTACTGCACGAGCTCCGCAGAGTAGCCACAATCACCATCGCCGTCGTCTTCGTCGCCCTCGCCGCCGCCATAGCCGGTTTTTTTTATTAAGGGAGAAATGGGGAAGACGGTTAAATTTTTTATAACGTCTTTTCAGTCTTCTTCGTGAACTGCAAAGTCTCTCTTTTTCTCTCTTTTTCTCTCTTTTTCTTTTTTCTCTTTATTGGTTTTTTAAAATAATTACTTTCTTTATAACTCTTGGGACTAAAAAGTGGGCGATTTGGTGTTGGTGGGCCAGGCCGGCCAGCCATGGAGTGGGAGAGAAGAGAGAATTTACATATTATACATATACTAAAAAGAGATGACAGGATTCATTGTTTATGTTACAATATAATGAATAGATCTTTCTTATTTTAGTCTTGTTTTATTTTTTTGGATAAAATTTTAATTACCGTTATGTTTTGTTTATAAAATTACGATATTGCCCTTATTTTAGATTTTTGTGCGTTTATTTACCGTGACTATTTTGGTCATTTATTGATGCTTTTGTTTACTTCGTTTGTTCTTCTTTCATTTGCTTTCTTTCAACAGGATTATTGTTTATGTTACAGTGTAATGAATAGATCTTTCTTATTTTAGTCTTGTTTTATTTTTTTGGATAAAATTTTAATTACCGTTATGTTTTGTTTATAAAATTACAATATTGCCCTTATTTTAGATTTTTGTGCGTTTATTTACCGTGACTATTTTGGTCATTTACTGATGCTTTTGTTTACTTCGTTTGTTCTTCTTTCATTTGCTTTCTTTCACTTCTTTCTGTGGCCCTCTCTCTCTCTCCTTCATTTGTTTCCTTCCGTAATGTTCTACATTTCTTCTTCTTCGAAACTGAGCCTCAGTTTTTTCCCCCTCTTTTTCGTTTGTTGATTTCGGCCATTTTTTCATTATTTCTTTCTGTTGTCATTTATGCTTTTCGTTGCTTTGCTCCTGCAATCTTCAACATTTTTTTTTTTAAATTGAGATTGGGGATTTTTTTTCCCTTTCTTCCGTTTGTTTTCTTCTGCAACCTTTTAGATCTGTTTTTATTTTTGCGTATTTAGATTGAATAGGGTTATCTGTTTTTTTTGTTCGTTTGTTTCTATGATTTTCTA